AATCACTTGTATTTATGGCAAAAACAATAAAGAAAAACACGTTTTTCGATAGATTTTTACAGCTTGGGTACTTGGGCATTGTTTTAATTGCGCTAGACGTCTGACAGTACAGCTTTGGTTTATATTTCCTGTTTCATAATTAAGCCAATATGTTAATGATATTCACGTACTTCACAGTCCACGCAAACAGGGTCAAACTATAGCCCCACCCCTATATAACCAAATACGAAACGATACCGAGAAAGTAACAATTACATGTATTAACAAGTCATTGAAAATGACACAGTCCCCATTAAGTTCTCTTTGTGCTCGTCATGAGCATGTCCTTGAAACTTGAGTTCCAAGTGGCGTATACAACAGATTGTTTATTTACATCAAAACACGTGTTTCGTGTCATAGTAATATGGCCAAAATAAAAACAGTCGTTATTCAGCCATCTTTGATCTGATTATGAAACACACAGATATGTATGATGTATGTGCCAAATACGAATGAAAATGGTACATAAATTGTGGAAATATAGTAGTATGGCCAAAAAGTCAGATGGCTGTCAATCGGCCATCCTTGACCAGATTTTGAAACGAATTGTCATGGACATGCATCCTAACATGTATAAAGTACATGTATGTGCCAAATTTGAATGAAAACTGACAGAGCACCTCTAAGATACTGCATAAGAAAACAAAACCAAGATGCCTGCCAGTCGACCATCTTTGATCCAATTGCAAAATAAATTGTCATGGACATGTATCCTAACATGTATAATCTATGTACCAAGTTTGAATGACAACTGACAAAGCATGTCCAAAATACAACATTTTCAAAAAACAAGATGGCTGCCAGTCGGCCATTTTGAATCGAATCGCTAAACCACTGCATGTGCATATGTCCCACATAAAGTACTAGGGACATGCAAAGAATGAACAGAATCGGTCCAAGGGATTCTGAGATATGACTCCGGACGGACGGACGCACGGACACACGGACGGAGACCGAATTATAAGTCCCCGTTTTCGGACTTCGTCCGAACGGGGACTAAAAATAATTTCCTGTGACCAATCAGAGAGACGAAATCATTCACGAAAGCCCAGGCCTGTTACAAGGCATTTTCTGATTGGTACAAGTCCAGATTATTTTCAATTCTCACAAATAGCTAATTTAAATATTTGGGTCAGGCGGGTCACGTAGGCTTCACTTTGCTGTAAGACAAGTTGATCGCGCAAGTTTGTGGAACTAATCCATTCGACTTCAATTTTGATTATTTTCGGCAAGAGAGTCCTCTTCAAACTAATGCCAGTTATTTTGTTACTT